TGATTTTTGCTTAAACATTCATCTTCTAGCATTCAAGGGATTTATGCTCCCGCTTCCTCACTCCTTATTAGCTCACACGAAGTAGAAGTAGGCTCCAAGTGTGTAGTTATCCACTCAGAGGCCACGGTCAGTCAGACACAATTAACATGCGCAAACAAAAAAATTTAGCCACCACAACATTGTCAACTTTCTAGAGACTCACTCGGTTAATAGATCAGCCACCAGACCTGTGGGTGCACGTGATTCCCTTCATTGCGCAATCACACAGGCTAGCAATAAAAGGACGCCTTCAGATCCGGACAGATGCGGGTGCCAGTTTAGATGACAAATGATGAGGAGGGCTCTGCATTCTGTGCACAAACATGTGCCTATACGACTTAGGAAAGGAATGGCAACTACCCTAGCAACGGATCGCACATGTGTAAATATGAGTGATGAGCCAACAAGCTAATCGTTATCACTACTGGGAATAGCTGTAACACACCAGCTTGGCTCCTTGTCTTTAGTCATCGAAACATCTGCCATCTGCTGCCCACAGTGCTCCTTTTGCGACGAAGTTGATAAAATGAGGAGCCAGAGTAGTATCCGTCATCCCTTTGATCATGCTTGTGTTTATCACTTACATTAGGGGTGTTTTATCTTTGACAACTTAATATTGCCCTGAAATGGTTGTTTTGGTGATACACACAATGGATTGACGTGGTTGCCTCGGGCATTTTAGTCCTAGTTATGAGGCCACTGATGATACATACAGGGATTTTAGCGACAACTACACCTACTCTGCACCTCTGACAGACAGAGGAGCCCGTATGTGTTGTGTTAACTCTGAGTCATGGCATTGATTAGTTTACTGGCTTATTCTGCACATTGACACACTACACACTACCGGTTCTCTAGCCATTTCATATCAGATATGCATCTTACTGTTTTTAGACACGCATGGAATATTCTAGAGCTCTTACACACTGTTTTCTCGTCTAGTGGATGTCTGTAAAACTTACGCATAGGTAGAG